CAAGCACATCTACACATATCTATACCACTACGCATACTTATGCAATGTCATATACATGTATGTCTGAATACACCTATTCATATACATATACACATATACAAAACATGTAACATATACATGTATACGTATATACATGTACAAGTACGTATACATGTACGCATACCTCTGCCTATACAAATATTTATGCAAGTGTATGGATACATACATAAATACATGCACACATACATATACATATACATGTGTTCGTATACATATGCATACATGTTTACATAGACAAATGCGTGCACACATATATACATGCATATAAACATGCATAGATATATAGTACATATTTAGCCATACCTGTTCTATACACATACATGTTCTTATACATACACATGTACAAATACAAATGGAAATACACATACAGATGCACAGATATGTTCATATACATATATATTCACATCTACATATACACTTTCATCTGGGCGCGCGTTGAAAAATGGCCCCCCTGCTCGGGCGAATCGCGGGGGGGGGGCACCCGCCAGGTGATGAACGCGGGCGCCGGGCCGCCAGCGAGATGGCGACAGGCGCGGTGCAGGCGGCGCCGCTCCCGCGGAGGGGGGACAACAGCGCCTCCGCTGGGCGCGTGGGACAAAAATGGCTACAGATAGTGGAGGAAGAGGAAGCGGGGGAAAGAGGCGCCTCAGCTGTAGCGGGGCGCGTGGGCCAAAATGACTACAGACAGTGGAGGAAGAGGAGGCGGGGGAAAGAGGGGCCTCAGCTGTAGCGGGGCGCGTGGGCCCAAATGGCTACAGACAGAGGAACAGGAGACGGGGAGAGAGGCGCCTCAGCTGGCGGGCGGTGCCAACATGGCTGCAAACGAAAGAGGGGAGAGGGGGGGATGAGCGGCAGAGGCAGGCGGAAAACAGCTTCCTTTTCCTTTCCCACCCTTCCGCGCCCTCCACTACAATGTGTCGTACGACGACGACGACGACGACGACGACGACGACGACGACGACGGCGACGGCGACGGCGACGGCGACGGCGACGGCGACGGCGACGGCGACGGCGACGGCGACTGCGAAGGCGACGGTGGACGACAACGCACTGCGAATGCTCCATGGGGGGGCGGATGTGCTACGAATGCCCGCTGAATCGTCGACGACGACGACGACGACGACGCACTGCGGATGCCCCACAGGGGGAGGGTCGTAGCCCCGCTGTCTTCGACGACGACGACGACGACGACGACGACGACGACGGCGACGACGATCGACGACGACCGACGACGACCGACGGCGGCGGCGGCGGCGACGACGACGGCGACGACGACGACGACGGCGACTGTCACACGTCAGTAATCAGCCTGGGAGGGGGAAAAACTTCGCATCGGACCTGTACAATCCATATTACAACTTTTGCGCGAAAAACAATCGTTTTGAGGCTTCCGTGAAGGGGGATACACGATCCCCTCGGCGTCGCCCACGCCGACCCCCTGGCGCGCGTGATTAAAAAACCGTGTCGCGCCCCGAAGGGTCTACTCAACAACCCCGCGGGGGGGATCATTCAGTAATCACCAGCTGACATTACGGCAGGTTCGTGCCGTGACGACCTGCGCACTGGTTTCTGACACCGCGGATCGCTCAACCTTGAACGATCGTGGCGTCCGGATAGCGCGGATCGTCCAATGTCGGCCGATTCTGGACCACTGGCGGCGGTCAGCCTTGAACGGCCGCGTTGGGGTTGCCGCCACCTACCCACCTATCCGCGGCCCGGCAACAGAACAGTTCGAGGTCTGCTGCCCACCGGGGCCAGGCATGTTGGCTGGCAGCCCGGGGCGCGCCACAGCGGGGGCGTGCCCATCGAGAGGTTTTTTTTCCTACAGGGGAATTTTGGACGAAAAATAAGAAATAGTCAAGCAAATATTCAAAAAAACTCTCTCTCACACACACACACACACACACACACACACACACACACACACACAAAAAAAAAACAGATTATGTTTGACTATCTTTGAATATTCCTCCTGTAGAAGGACAGGCCCGACTGAATGATAGAATCTCAAGCACGAGCTCCTAGAGGCGACGCGCTTTGGGGGCATCCTGGGGGGAGAGAGGCTGCGCCAGCTCTCTGCGCGTACACTGCAGGGCTGGAGCTTGGAGGAGGAGGGCGAGGAGGAGGAGAGGGAGGAAAAGAGAGAGAGAGAGGGAGTAAAGGAAAAAGCAAGGCAGGCAGGGAGGGAGGGAGGAGAGGAGAGGAGACAGAGGAGGGCGGAGGGGCAGAGTAGGAGGGCGGAGGATGGAAGGAGGAGGCACGTGGGGAGAGGCGGATGAGGAAGAGGAGGAGGAGGAGGAGAAGCAGGGGAGGAGGAGGAGGAGGAGGAGGAGGAGGAGGAGGAAGGATGTAGGAGGGAGGAAGACGGAGAGATAAGGACGACGGAAGATGGAGAAGGAGAAAAGGGAGAAGGGAGGAGGAAGAACGGAGGAGCAGAAAGGGGAGGAGGGCATGAGGAGGGAATCAGGAGGGAAGGAGGAGGGAAGGAGTGAGAGAAAGGAGAGGAGGGAGGAGGGCACGAGGAGGAGGTGAAAGGACGGGGAGGAGTGAGGCAGACAGGAGGCAGCCCCGCGGCCACGCGCCGCCTGAGCATCACGTCGGCCGTGCCGGGCGAGTTCTGCGCGAAGATCAGCCCGCTGTTGATGTCGAAGCGCGCCTCCCCGGCGGCCGCGGCCAGAAGCGAGGACGACGGCGATGGGCCTCCTCACCTCCTCCTCCTCCTCCTCCTCCTCCTCCTCCTCCTCCTCCTCCTCCTCCTCCTCCTCCTCCTCCTCCTCCTCCTCCTCCTCCTCCTCCTCCTCCATCCTCCTCCCTCCTCCTCCTCCTCCTCCTCCTCCTCCTCCTCCTCCTCCTCCTCCTCCTCCTCCTCCTCCTCCTTCCTCCTCCTCCTCCTCCTCCTCCTCCTCCTCCTCCTCCTCCTCCTCCCTCCTCCTCCTCCTCCCTCTCCTCCTCCTCCTCCCCTCCTCCTCCTCCTCCTCTCCTCCTCCTCCTCTCCTCCTCCTCCTCCTCCTCCTCCTCCTCCCTCCTCCCTCCCCCTGGGGCGCCAAGGCCCCAGGTCACCCAGCTTGGCGCATCGCGCCCCGCGGTGCGCGGCGGCGGTCGTCTGCACGCACTCACGCCGCCCCCCGTCGAGCAGGCAGCTACAGTCGGGGCCTTGACTTAAGGAACCCAAAATGAGGAACGAGGCCCCTTTATTCCATAAGTTAAGCTTCGACATCCGATCGAAAACATGAGGAAAACCTGAGGCAAGCTGCGAAACACTCAAGGATCACGGAGCCCCTCCCCAACGAAAAGGGTTCCTTCTTCAGGGCCCCGACTGTATCTTCGCGCCCCCGCGGGTGGCCTTGGAGGACCGCGCCGCCGTGTCTTGACTTGTGCTGCCCCGCCTGGCTTGCCTGCCAGGCGCCGAGTCGGAACAGGCTGACACGCTGGATGTTGCCGCCGCTGGTCGACGGGGGGGCGACCTGGTTCTGCCAGGGGAAGTCCACGTCGCAAGAATTCTCCCCTCGCCTAGCCACGAGAAGAGGGCGTCTCGCGCAAAGTCGCACGTGTAAGTAGCGTCGCTCGCGCGAAAACGCGTGTCCACGTGGCTGCCGATCAAATTCGTTGTCGAGTTCGTGGCCCGACGGCATGGAAACATGGCCTCCAAAGTCTACCAAAATCAAGCCAGATCGGAGCCGAAACCCCCAGAACCCATCTCGGCGTTTTGGGGTGGGGGCCTGGGGAGTCGTCGGGACCATCCTGGCACCGACTTCGGGCAGCCCTGGACACGGTGTCGCGATTTGGAGGGGTGTGGAGTGCACGGCGGCGCGGGCAAGCGAGCGATAAGGGGATGCACACCATGTCCCGATCCCCCGCCACGGGTCTGACTTTGTGGCGGCGCCGCCATGCACGCATGGAAGAATACAGATGTTCGCCCGGATCCCCTCTCGCCCCCCTCCCGCGGCTTGGGGGCGGGGGACCTCTGGGGGCCATCCTGGGAGAGCTCAGGGCCCGTCCTGGGGCCGGGGCCCCAAGGCTGCCCCAAGAGTCTGGACGCCCGATATTCGGGTCGGGCGAAAGGGGGGGATATAGCAAAGGGGGGGTTTGAGAATCAGCTCACGTAGCTAATTTTCCCGGCGCCTCCCGGCGCCGGAGGCGGCTATGTATCGAGGAATGGGCCCCTCGGTGAGGCCGAAATCAGCTGCATGCAGCAAATTTCGTAACCCCCCCTTTCCCAATCCCCCCCTTTCGTCCGGCCCGAGATATGGGCACGGAAAGAATGGGTACGATGTCCAACAGCAGTTCCTGTTCATTTTGAGCAGGATTCGCTGTCCACGCCGCCGCGGCCCGTGTCCATTCGAGACAGGAGGCCGCCTGCCCAACGGCGGCCGCTGTTGGTTGGGGACAACATTTGCTCTTGGGCATTGTACCCATTCTTTCCATCCGCACCCATCCAAAAAGAGGGCCCAAGAGGGCCCTGCGGGCCTCCGCAACAGCCCAGACATGGCCCCAGCCCTGGCCCCAAGAGAAAGAGAGCTTCAAGAAGCCTCCAAGGAGGACGGCATCTCGCCTGCGAGTCGCTTCTGGATGGGCCCGGCGTCAACCACTGCACGCGGCAGGTCGTGCTGCTGGTCTGTTCGCAGCCCCCTAAAGCAAGCGTGCACTGAGGGTCGGCGGCGCGCCGACGGGAAAAGGCGGAGGAGGAGGGGGCGGGCCCTCGCGGGAGGCTCAGAAGGCCTCCTGCCTCCCGGGAAGCTCTACGGTCAGCCTGTATCAGAAGGATGCGCGACGAGGATGCAGGGGCCTTGGAGGGCCATTCCGAAGCTTCTCGAGCGGGGCGCGGCCAACGAAAGCGGCCAAAAGGATGCAAGGGTGCCCTTGGGAAGGCTGCCCATCCTCCCTGTGCGGGTTGACCGTAAAAGCCTTCCCGGGAGCCACGGAGGGCCTCTGAGAAACCCCCAGAGGGCCTCCGACCGGGGGCGTTTTCCCCTCCTCCTCCCCCCTCCTCCTCCTCCTCCTCCTCCTCCTCCTCCTCCTCCTCCTCCTCCTCCTCCTCCTCCTCCTCCTCCTCCTCCTCCTCTTCCTCCTCGCGCGCGGTCGCCAAATCCATGCATCGGGGGAGGTGCCCTCCCCGAAAGGCGGCCGGTGCCGCCTCGCTCGGCGGCGGAGCTCCGCGGTTTCCGGCGGCAACGGGACCCGTCGCCAATCCACGCCCCCTTGGCCCATGCTTGCGATCGCCCGATCCGAGAGGACACACCGCCTGCCGAGGAACCCCGCCCCGTCTCGCCTCCCCCCTCGGCGCGCCGCCGAGGGGGGCTCATTCGTGCCTCGCCGAGTGCTATGAGGGGCAGCGATAGGGGGGGCGGATGAATTGGGCATGGGGTTGTGTTGTTCCCATCGTACTTGAGGACCACATCCCAGAGATGAGTTCGAGCGCCCAGAGAAGTGTCGAAACGGTGTCGCACGAGCATCGCCTCCCAGGGCCCGACACGTGAAAACCTTCCAGTTTTGATGTTTTCTTGGCGCTCGAAATTCTTTCTGGCGTTCAAGGCTAAAGTAGGCTGGAAAATCATAAGCATAAGGGGGGACACATCGACCTGGAATCCGCGATCCATCGCCGATGGATCGGCGACAGGCCCCCGAAAGTGCATCCGCAGGTTCCTGGGCAGGTTGGGGTTGTCGGGCCCCAGACGGCGATCGATGGGCGATTGGGGGTCCACGCATCCCCCCCCCCCCCGAAGTGATGCCTGGAGGAGGAGGAGGAAGAGGAGGAGGAGGACGAGGAGGAGGAGGAGGAGGAGGCCGCAATGAAAGGCAACGATTAAAAAAATATTTGGGGCGGACGATTAAAAAAATGTTTCGCGGGCCTCCTCGCCCCCGCAATAGCGGGGGGGCAGGGCAGGCACACGGGGGGCTGACAATTCCGGGTTGCCTGGAAGGCCAGGGGGGGGGGGCACGGGGTGGCGATCCAGGGCGCGGAGGCCAGGGGGGTGGACGGGGTGATTTTTCAGGGCGAGTTCGTCCTCCCTCCTCCTCCTCCTCCTCCTCCTCCTCCTCCTCCTCCTCCTCCTCCTCCTCCTCCTCTCCTCTTCCTCCTCCTCCTCTTCCCTCCTCTCCTCCTCGTCCTCCCGGCTCGGCGGGCAAGGGGGGCGGGCGCCCCGCGGGCGCCCCCCCTCGAATTGCGCAACGGCGCGCGCGGAAGAGAATTCTGGCGGAGAAAGGCAAAGCAGGCGGACCGTCTGTGGCGACGAACGTGCCACGTCGTGCTCTGCCATGCTACGCTTTGATCTTGAACGCCATGCTATGCAATGTTATGTTCGGGGCCGCTGTGCGATGCCATGCTTTGCGTTGCAAAGATTTGTGATGCAATTCTGCACTACGCCACGCCATGCTGTGACATACTACGCTTTGCGGTGCTCTTCAACGCCCTGCCATGCCGTGCTCTACAATGCATCGCGTACCCTTTCGGGATCATTGCCCTGCTCGACATCCAACTGTGCGAGTAGAGAGGGGATCTACGCCATGGTAAGGCATGGGAGGGAGGGGTAGGCTGTCATACATGACGCGAGCGCGCCTAGCCTGTCCTCCCCCCTCCTCCTCTTCTTCCTCCTCCTCCTCCTCCTCCTCCTCCTCCTCATCCCCCACCTCCCAATCGCCGCGGCCGTCCGCAAGGACGACCGGCGGCCGTCCGCAAGGACGAGGGTGATCAAGCGCCTCTTCGAAAACCCCTTCCCTAATTACCCCGTCCCCCCTCCGCAATCCTCCCCCCGCGGCCGCGGGTGATCAAGCGAGCGAAGGCAAACGAATAGAAAATAAGTTACCCCAAAGGGGCACAAGCAAACGCCGGGGGGCGGACGATTCAAAAAACAGTTTCCGGCGGCTGAATTCTATTAGTCCGCCTCACTCAATCATTTTGGGGGGTCCGGGGGGGGGGGGGGGGGGGGGCGATTTTTTTTTAATCGTTTCCCTGCATTAAAGGGCTCCTGAGAACAGGCCCTGAACTGCCACCGCGGGCCCCCCCAACAGAGCACGCGAGGTGTGCACTTTCCCTTCGCTCTTCACGGTCACTGCCCCTCCGTGGACGAACACCCGAGAGGCCACGACCGGGACAGATCGGCGGCGAGCGAGGGGGGGGGAAGCGAGAAGGAGAAGGCCCTCGCAGAAGGCGGCGGGACTTCTCAGAGGTCCCTGGCTCCTTCTGAGAAGTTATTCTGTGTCTTCGAGGAACGCGTAGAAAACTTCTCAGAGGCCAAGGCCCGGGGACTCCCGAGCCTTCTGGAAAGGCGCGCCCCTTCTGGCTTCCCCCCCTCGCTCGCCGCCGAGAGAAGCCACGACCGGGGCCATGGACCTCTGAGATCCGGCAGGAGCATGTAACGGGCGCCACGGCCAAGGGGCCGACAGATGGCCCGAAACTTTACGTAGGAGCCCAATAAAACCCCAAGACAGCCCAAGTAGCCCCTACGAGACACCTCAAATATTCGAGACAAGAGGATTACAAGTTACGGCCTACTGTGCGCTTACCACTTCAGCGTTACGCAGAGTGCTGCGCCGTCACGGTGGCAGGAATTGCCGCAGGCAGCTAGACAATGTCCGAGCAGGTATTTGAAGAATACAGAACGCTCTGAGAGCGTTCAAGAGCGCTCGGGGCGCTCTGGAAGCGGAGATGAAACCAGCTGCGTGCAGCAGACTCCGTACCCCCCCGCCATTCATCCCACCTGAGTGATCCTCGTCTGGCTTTCGGGCAAGAACTCGCGCCTCCAGCGGCCGTCCGGGACGATGCAGGCAACCCCGGAACGCTCTCGGCGAGGCGCAACTGCTGGAGAGCATCCCGAAGCTAAATCCGCCGAGAAGTCTCTCAAAGACGCCCGCAAACCTCCCCGGCACGGTCCACCCCCTTCGCCCGACCCGAACGCTCTCGGCGAGGTGCAGCCTGAAGAGCATCCATAATAAAACAGGGCTAGGATCGGGATAAATCGCTCCAGAGCGTGCCGGAGCGCTCTCAGAGCGTTCCTGAACGCTCTGGAGCGGCCGCGGCGCCCAATACATCCTCCAAACCCGCCGATTCTCAGAGATTTCGAGTTATCCCGATCCGATTTTGTCCCGATCTTCGTGTCGTTTTACATAAGGCTGGAAACCCGCCGAGAACCCGCGAAGACGCCTGCAACCCTTCGCCCGACCCGCTCCCCCGCCCCAGCCCGAGAGGCCGCGGCCCGCAGGCGAGGGGCAGCCGACAGCCAATCCGCACAGGTCCCAAGGCGATAGCCAAGCGGGGTACACCCTGCGAAATGGTTAAGAAATCATGGGTTAAGAGACTCATAGTCTCAGGATTTGAATAAAAAACAAAATTTCTATTCAAATTTTAGGATTTACATTGAAACAGTAAGAATAATCGAGACTCTGGCCGAAAACTTACGTTTTCTTAAGCATCGCCTAGGGTGTAGAGGCGATCAGTGGGCGACTGGAGGTCGATGCATCCCCGCCCCAAAATTCGGGGGGGTCCAAGAGTGGGGCGTCTAAGAGAGGGGTGCACCGGTCATGGTCCGTGGCATGTGTGCGGCCAAGGGCGGCCAGGGGACGCATCAAAATTAGAGGAGGCGCCGTGTGAAAGTGGAGGAGATATCATGGCCCTGGCCATAACATCCACAGCCCCTTGTCATCGCCCCCTCTTGGCCGCCCCCGACTACGGCCAGGAACCTTTGGACAGTGTGTCGCCACGGCGGCCCCGGCGACACGCTATGCCTTGCGAGTGGAGAACGTGTCGCTCCGCTCCGCGGGGCGGGAGCCTCGGGAAAGCTCGGGAAGTTGACGCTTGGGGACCAGAACTGGCCGAGCGACACACGCTATCCCAAGGTTCCCAGCCGCATCGGCGATCAGTCGATGCATCTCCCCCCCAAACGCTTCGGGTGTTGCTAGAAGTGCCCCTGGACCAAGATGCTACCAGGATTCCCAAGGAGGCCCCCCCGGCCTCCAGAGCACCCCTCACTGGGCCAGAAAACAAACGCCACCACCCCACCTACGGCCCCATGGGGCTTAGCGAATACCAGGAAATCAGGCTTGCGTTTTTCCATTGTATGCGCTACGGCCCCCGATGGGTCGTGGAGCAACACGGAGGGCAGGAGGTGGGGTGGTGTCGTTTGTTGCTTGGTCGACTCACAAGGCCCAGAGGGCCCCAGGGGCCCCAAAACTGCCCCAAAAGGCTAGGGGCTCCCTGGGGCCCGGGGCGCCTTTCTCGCAGCCCTCAGTTCGTCGCGGGGGCAGGAGGCAGCCAAGACGCCGCAGCAGGGACCTCCCTGGGGCCCGGGGCGCCCTTCTCCCAGCCCCCGGCTTGTCGCGGGGGCAGGAGGCAGTCAAGACGCCGCAGCAGGGACCTCCCTGGGGCCCGGGGCGCCTTTCTCGCAGCCCCCCGGGGCGCTGCCCGGGAGCCGCGCCCGCGCCCGCCGCCCTGCCGCCCGCCGCCCCCGGGGCGCGCCGAGTCTTCCTCGCCCGTGAGGCTGCGGCGGTAGATGCGGAGGCGGTCGCGGAGCTGGCCGGCCTGCGCGCGCCGTCGCCGGCCTCGCCCTCGCGGTCGTCCTCGCCGCCCTCGCCATCGTCGGCGTCGTCGCCAGCGTCGCCGTCGCCCTCCTCCTCCTCCTCCTCCTCCTCCGCCTTAGGGGAGTTTGACCCAAGTCGTGGATGGAGACCGCTGCTCCGCCGCAGCGCCAGGGCGCTTGCGCTCGACATCTCTTTCAGCCAGTATCGCACGGGCTTCTGGCGGCCCCTGCGCGGCTGCGGTCACGACTCCACGGCCCCTGCGCCGTGGAACAAGGATGCTACAGAAGATTGCATGTGCAAATTCCCCACTCATCAACTATGAATGAAAACGACAGGTGCTACCAGGGTCGCATCAGCAAGAGTGCCAGCTTCAAGCCCGTGTCTCCCCCAGTCATGCCCAGCCGCAAGAGAAAGGCTTGGCATCAGAAGCCCGAGCAACCTTCGGCAGCCATGGCCAAGTTGGAGAGGCGTTTACAGGAGCTCGAGTCAGAGAACGCTCGTCTTCGAACGCCGAACGGAGACGGGGGAGCCACACCGGAGCCCAAGAAATCAGATGAGCTGCGTGTAAAGGTCGATGGCCTGGTCAAGCATGCACGAGCGAGCGAGCGAGAAGCCGGGCATCCAGAAGGACGCGTTGGCAGAAGAGCGCGAGCTTGGCAACCTTTCGCGGGAAATACACAGAAGCATCGCATCGCATCGCGACTGCGCAGCTCGAAACGAAGCGCCCCACGACTACGAAGCAGGAAGCGAAGCGCCCCACGACTGCGAAGCAGGAACGGGAGGGAAGCGGAAGGGGGAGGTGGGGCGGAGAACGCAGAGGACGAGAAGGAAGGGGAGGGGAGAGGCTATTACTCGTGTGCTCTGCTGTGCACGGAGGTCGCCCACTGCTGTCGCGGCCGCCCTCGCTTCTGGCGACATGCCCAGCTCTTGGGAGCGCCGTGCGCATCGCATATAATGTCCTCGCCTAGGGAAGGATCCAGGGAGCTCGAAGCTCTAGTGTGCAGTGCGGCTTGACGCCTCTTCAGGATCGCAGGCAACGGTGTCGACGACGCTCGCTGCAGCACGTCACTGTTGCGAATAGGAGAAGCGCAAAAGAATGTGGAATGCCAAGCAGACGCCGCAAGCATTTGCAATGAAAGCTGTCCAACCTTCAACAACCACATCGAACCCAAGGAATACAGAAGCTTACTGAGCACGCAGCTGGAATAGATCGTAGACTTCCTTTCCCCGATTGGGGAATGCGCCCATATCCATTCCAAGTGTTTGGAAATCTGAGTCGCCTCCCCCAATCGCCGTGTCAGCTCCATTGTCGCCTTTTCCGTCACAAGTAATTTCAAAAGCGTGATTCTTGAGTGTCGAGGGCGCGGCGTCTGCATACATTGCGAAGAAATCCCATGCGAGAGCGCGATTCTTGCATACATTGTGAGGAAGTCCCACGCGAGAGCGCGATGGGGTAATACATTGTGAGGGAGTATCAGGCAGGAGCCGCTGTACCGGGGGCCAAAGATACAATTCTGAGACCTAAAACTTTCCCTGAAAAAGAAAACAGTGTGCGAGCCCTGGGAAGGGCACTTCAATTTAAAAAACAAAAAATGTGTCCTGGAGGGGGGGGGGTCAAGAAGAATTACTCTTACTGAGAATGCAACAACAACAACAGTAACACGACAACAACGACGACAAAAACGACGACGGCGGCGACGACGACGACAATAACCACAGTACCGCAACAATCACAAACACAACAACAACCACAACAACAAAAAACAACCAAAACAACCACAAAAACTATTCACGAAATCAACAACAAACACAACAACAATAACAACAGCAACGACAACGACAACGACAACAACAACGACAACAACAACGACAACAACAACAGCATCGGTATCAGCAGCATCATCAGCATCATCAGCATCATCATCAGAACCATCATCTGCATCAAAGACATCATCATCATAATCACTCTCACCACCATTATCATCATCATCACCCTAATCATGATCATCACCAACACCATCATCATCATCATCATCATCATCATCATCATCATCATCATCATCACCATCGTCAGCAACATAATCAGCATCGCCGTCACGTTCACACTCCTCAGCATCATCATGATAATCAGCATGATCATCGTCATCATCGTTGTTATCAGCATCATCATCATCACAATCATCAGCATCAGCATCATCATGAGCATCATCATCATCATCCTCATCAGCAGCAGCAGCAAAAGCATCAGCATCAGCATCGTCGTTATCATCCTCAGAATCATCGTCACCTGCATCATCACCATCATCGGCATGATCATCACAATCGTCAGCATCCTTATCATTATCAGGCTCAGCATCACCATCATCCGCAGCATCAGCATCATCATCACCACCGTAATCCTGGTCATCATCATCGCCATCGTCATCGCCATTCTCACCCGCACCCTCATCATCATCAGCATCATCATCCTCATCAGCAGCAGCATCACCAGCTGTCAGCATCATCAGCATCAAAAGCATCAACATCAGCATCATCAGTATCAGCATCATCATCATCATCATCACCACCATCATTATCATCATCATCGTCAGCATCGTCATCAGCATCATCCTTCTCATCATCATAAGCATAGTCATACTACTCAGCATCATCATCAACATCATCAGGATCATCATTATAGTTTTCAGCAGCATGAGCATCAGCATCATCAGTATAATCAGCGTTGTCATCATCATCCTCACCCTCATCATCAGCATCGTCGCTATCATCGTCAGCATCGTCATCAGCAGCAGCAGTATAAGAATCAGTCATCATTATCAGCATCATCATCAGCATCATCACCATCATCAACATCATCGTGAGCATCACATCATCATCACAATCACCATCATCCTCACCATCATCACCGCCACCACCACCACCACCATCATCACCATCAACATCATCTTCTTCCTCACACTAACCCTCACCCTATCCTCATCCTCGTCCTCGACCTCGACCTCCCCCTACCACCACCAGAACCACCGACTGCTACTCCTACTGTTCCTCGCCCTCCTCCTGCTCGCCCTCCGCGACATCCTCACCTCCTCATACACCACCTCCCCTTCGCCATCTCTTCTTTTGGGGGATAGGAGATGGAGGATGGAGGATGGAAGAGTTCGAGAGAGAGGATTGATGAGGGATGAAAGAGGGAGGATGTGCTCTGGGCTTGCTACTTGGCATCAAGGTCAGAATTGTCCTTCCCCCAACTCACCATTGCAATCAAAGCTTGCACCAGCCCTGTGCTGCTGACCGCACATCTCTGCGCAGAACACACCCAACAGAAAACAGCGAATCACCTCGGCCTTCTCGTACTTGTCGGCCACGTCCGTGCACGTCTCAGGGTTCTCCTTTAATGCCGGGCCCCTGGTCTTTCCAGGCTCCCACCCCTAAACCTCGATCCCGCCACCACCTCACAAAATCCCACCAGCCCTGGAGGGGCGTGAGTGGTTTAGTCCGCTTGCTCTTCCAACCTGAAAGGGTGTACCCCTCCCCCTTCCTCCTCCCCTGAACCTGGATGGGGGGGGGGCGCGAGGGGTTGGAGCGTCCAAGAAGACCGCAGCGAGAAGGCAAAAACCACTGAGCCCAGTTTGGCGTCCGAGGGGATGGGAAATGGAGTATCCCACCTTCTGCGACCAAGCTCCTGCAAGATGGCCCCAAGATGGCACCCAAGGTTCCCAAGAGTGGCCCAACACGGCCCTAAGAGGCGCCCAGGAGGCCCAAGAGGCCCCAAGAGGCACCAAGAGGCTCCCCGGAGGCAGCCCAGACGCTCCAATATGCCCCGGGAACGGCTAGTGGCCCCCAAGACGGCCCAAGAGGACTCCAAGAAGCTCTCAAGAGAGATCCAAAGAGTCTCCAAGAGGAATCCAAGGGGACTCTGGCCTTTCTGCTCGCCCCCCTCCTCCTGCTCCTCCTCCTATCATCTGCCTGTTCCTGTTCCTCCTCCTCCCTCCCTCCTCCCCCTGCCCCTTCCCCTCCTCCTCCTCAGCCTCCGATTCCTCCTCCATCCCCCTCTTGGGGTACGACGGCTTGCCAAGCCCTTTAGTCCAGCGCATGCTCCTCCACATCCCCGATCGGGGCAGCCCGCCTGGGCATCGCTTCTGGATGCGCTGGCGGGGTCACTTTCTGATCGCGACCGCACCGAGACCCTCGGGGGGCGTACAGGGCTGGTGGGGTTACACGCCGGTCGGGAGAAGTAGGTAAAAGCATGAAATAGGAAGGCGGGTATAGTAGATTGGGTCAAGGTCCTCCCAGAGAATGGAAATAAAAAATGTCGATTACTGCAGTAGGAAGGCGCTTGAAATAGATTGGGATCTGGGAATCCAAAAATACCTACTTTCAATGACCGGCTTGTACTTTTTTTGTCGCAGCCGCAAGCGAAAGCGCAGGCGGCGTCAAACGGGACGGGCGGGCCACGCGCGAACCTAATTGCCTAACGCGCCAGCAAACAAAGGCCTAAGCGGGACCTCAGAGAACCGGAAGCGGGAGGTGGTGCGGGCTGCAGCTGCCAGGGACCAGGTCCAGGAGCGAGCACATGCAAATTAGCCAACCAAAGTTGGGGCGCAGCCAAAATGGCGCGGGAGCGAAACCAGGATGAAGCCAGGAGCGCCACCACGAAGGATCGCAGATACCAGGAAGGCCAGGAGAACTCACTGACCAGGAAGCTGGTGGGGGTACGCGGAGCGTCTAGAACCGACCCAATGTTCCCCTCCAGTCCCTCGGCCTCGGCCCCTCTCCCCGTGGCCTCGCCTGCCCGCCTGCTGCCTGCCTGCCACAGCTCACGGGCTCCCCCTCCTCCTCCTCCTCCTCCTCCTCCCCCCCTCCCTCCCTCCGTCCCTCCCTCCCTCCCTCCTCCTCCTCCTCCTCCGCCTCCTCCTCCTCCTCCTCCTCCTCTTCCTCCTCCTCATCCTCCTCTTCCTCCTCCTCCTCCTTCTCCTCCGTCTTCTCCCGATGCCCCACCGCACACCTTCATGACGTTGTTTGCGGTGACCACCATGTGCGATCCAGGATAGTCCCTCTTGAAGAACTGCATCGGCGCCTGCACGAACACGGTGTCCGCGGCGGCATACAGGACACCCTTGGCGGGGGGAGGAAGGAGGAGAACCGGCGGAGGAGGAGGACACAGAGGAGGAGGAGAGAGAGCAACGGGGGGGGGGTCCGACAGGACAGGATCAGTCCGCATCGGATCGGGGAGTTGGGCTGACTCGAAATGTGCGTCGAATCGAGCTGCATGGGCAAGGAGTCGAAATCGAATCGGATCGACTGCGCCAGGATGCATAACAGCACAGGGTAAGCCTCGGACCGCATCGGATCGTCGAGACATAAAAACTAGAAGCACGCGCGCGTCGCGCGCGCGCGCTTAGGTTCTAGCCAGCTGTGGCTATATCCTAAAGCGTGCAGCATCGGAGAGACGAGTGCGAACCAGACGCACGTCATGAACAACACAGCGTCCCAACACTAATCAAAAATTGTCCCCCCTGCTTGACCCCACGTACGCAACGAGATAAATGCCAATCGCCGCTGATCCTGCATTCCCATACCCTCAAGCCCTTCCGTTCCCTCTCCACCACTTCTTCATCCTCCCGTTCATTATCCTTCCCCTCCGTCGATCCACCATCCCTCACGCTGTGCCTCCGAAGCCCTCCTTCCCTCGCTGCTGCTTACAGCGAATTCCGCCACCACGGTCTTGGGGCCGTGTCGAGGGCCTTTGGAAGGTGCAGGTTGAATCCCTGTAACGGTCTTGGGACTCTGCTTGGCGCGATAATCATTGGTCTCTGCGGCTCACGCGGCCCTGGAGCGCTCTCGTCGGCCCAGCTAGGTCGGTCCGAGAGCAAAACGGTCGTGGTCAGCACAGGCGTTGCTGTCTGCAGGAGGAGCTCACCTGCAAGTCGACCCAGCAGCCTGACACGCCCGTGCGCGAGTGGCATACCAATTGACCCGCTGAAGACTCTCCGCTGCTGCTCGTCGTCGTCATCGTCATCGTCAACACCACCACCACCACCACCACCATCATGATCATGTCATCATCATCATCATCATCATCATCATCATCATCATCATCATCATCATCATCATCATCATCATCATCATCATCATCATCATCATCATCGTCATCAGCATCATCATCATCATCATCATCATCATCATCATCATCATCATCATCATCATCATCAGTCAGCATCATCATCATCATCATCATCATCATGTCATCAACATCATCATCATCATCATCATCGTCATCAGCATCAGCCTCAGCATCATCATCAGCATCATAATCATCATCATCATCATCATCATCAGCATCATCATCAGCATCATCATCAGCAGCATCATCATCAGCAGCAGCATCAGCATCATCATGATCATCAGATTCACCATCATCATCATCACCATCATCAGCATCAGCATCATAAGCATCATCAGAATCGTCATCAGCAGAATCATCATCATCATCATCCTCATCATCAGCATGATCTCATCATCATCATCATCATCATCATCATCATCAGCATCATCATCATCATCAGCAGCATCATCATCATCATCAGCATCATCATCATCATATCATCATCGTCGTCATCATCATCTCATCATCATCATCATCATCATCATCATCATCATCATCATCGTCCTCATCATCAGCATCATCATCAGCATCATCAGCATCTGTATCATCATCATCATTACAATCATCATCATCAGCATCATCATCATCATCAGCATCATTATCATCATCCTCATAATCATCATCATGAGCATCATCAGCAGAAGCAGCAACATCATCATCATCACCACCACCATCACCAACATCAGCATCATCATAATCGTCATCAGCATCATCACCACCATCATCAGCATCATCGTCATCATCATCATCATCACCATCATCATCATCATCGTCATCATCATCATCATCATCATCATCATCATCATCATCATCATCATCATCATCGTCATCAATAGAATCATCAGCAGCATCATCATCAGCATCATCAGCATCATCATCATGATCGTCATCAGCAGCATCATCAGCATCAGCATCATCATCATCATCATCATCACCATCATCATCATCATCATCATCATCATCATCACTTTCATCATCATCATCATCATCATCATCATCATCATGATCAGCACCAGCAGCAGCAGCATCATCATAAGCATCAGCATCAGCACGAGCATCAGCATCAGCATCAGCATCAGTATCAGCATCAGCATCATCATCAGCATCTTCATCATCATCATCATCATCATCAGCATCAGCGTCTTCTTCATCATCATCAGCAGCATCAACCTCATCATAATCACCATCATCATCAGCATGATCAGCATCAGTATCAGCATCATCATCAGCATCATCATCCTCATCATCAGTATCCTGATTATCATCCTCAGCATCCGCAGCATCATCATCATCATCATCATCATCATCGTCAGCATCATTATCATAATCGTCAGCATCATCATCATCACAATATGCATCATCATCATCATAATCACAATCATCAGCATCAACAGATAAATCAACAACATCAGCAGTATCATCATAATCATCATTATCATCAGCATCATGCTTCACATCCTCATAATCATTAGTATTCTTATCATCATCATCATCATCATCATCAGCATCATCATCATCATCATCATCATCATCATCATCATCATCATCATCCTACTCCTAATCCTACTCCTACTCCTGCTCCTACTCCGACTCCTACTCCTACTCCTCCTCCTCCTCCTCAGCCATCCATCCATCCATCCATCCTTCCTTATGTCCTTCCGCCACCTCCCCCTCCCCGACTCCTCCTCGACGAGGGGCTGCGCACGGCGCGGGACCGCCGCGTCTGCTGGCCGCACCCCGCATTGGGTCGCGGCCTGCGACAGCCCGCTGACGATCACGGTG